AAAATTAAATTATTTTAAAAACCTTTTTAAAAACTTAAAATCTTTGTTAATAAAGTTGATAAAATATATATTAAACTATATTTTTTTATATATTAATAATATTACTAAAATTAATATTTTATATTTTATAAAGAAATTAACAATTTTTTTTAATTTTGCAGGCAAATTTGCCTGCTATACAGTCTAAGGGATAAAATATTTTCAGTTGTATTTAGTTGCAATTTATTAGTAGTCTATAAATTATAAAATTAGCTGTAATAATAAACAAAATATAGAAACTAAATTAACAATAAATATTAGAATTAAAAATGCTTTTTTAAACTATTTTTAGAAAATTTGGGTTTTGAAATATTTGAGATTAAACTATTTATTATAATAAATATCTTTACCTAAATTTTTAATAGGTTTTTCTGTAAGAAGTTTTATAATAGTATAACTATTTACAAGCAGACATATATATCACTTTCAATAATTGTCACAGAACTCAATATCTACTATAGAATTGATTTGCACTTAAGACAAAGGTTTAACTTTACCAAACATTTCTCTCGCTTTAGATCAAAATATCTTCTCTATAGGTCAAACCTATGTTACCCTTAGCAGATGTTCTACCTGGGACAATGTTAAGATTTTTTACCTTGACAGGTCAGCATTCATGACAGATCAGGAGATGATTCTAGAATATCAAAGATTACAAGACATCTCATGATTAAATCCTTATAATTTTCAATCATAAATGAAAATAAAAATAGCAAAGCATTCAAGATCATGTTAAATAAATTGTTTAATTAAAATCATAACTTGCTAATCACAATCTTCATAAAAAAATATATCAAAAAAAAAACATTCACGATAAAATCATTTATTTTTTTATTATATTCCCTCCTGTATGACGAATTACACTTGTATGAGCATTGCGCTTGTGTGACACATTAAATAACATTTTTGGGCTGAAAATCGGTATTTTATTTATTAGATATATGATATCATTTATCTTAGTATTATCGTTATGATTAAAACGTTATACTATACTATATTATTGTTTGTCATTTCGAAATTTATTTATTTGATAATGTTGTATCATGTGAATATTTGAAATTTTAAATAGCTAAATTAATTTAATATATTAATTTTTAAGTCCGGAGCATAAGGAGCATAAGTAGAACCAATCAGATTTTTGAATCAAATTTTTAGTGCTACCCATACTATATGGGCTTCGTCTTATGAGAAATCAAATGTGCAATATTTTATACAATTTTCGGTATAAACAACCTTTTGTCGTTGTCGAATTCAAAGCAAACAATACAGAGAAATTATGATAAAGAAATCTTGATCCGCAAAAAGCTATCCAAATAGACTTATCGGCACCAATCTTTAAACTTCGAGAAATAAGAGACAAAATGTTTGTGACCGAACCGTGACTATTCTCTTCTTGTTGGAAATTTTAAACTTGAAAGTTTCAGAGGAAAAAAGCCTGTTTATAATTTAGCATCACATTTTTTGTTCCATTTTGATTAAAAAAAAATTCACAGGTAATAGCGAAGGAATAATTAGATATTAATTATCGAAATGCCCAATTACCAAAAATCTAACTAGCCTTGGAAAAGAAGCACTAAATACAAAAAGAATCAAGTGTAGAAAAAGATTATAGTTCTTGGGCAAATAATTGATAACATTTTCATGAAGCAAGATCAAGTTTTTGATTCACGAAGTTTCGTAGAAGAAAGCGATTAAAATATTTTTTTTTTGATTATTCCGATCTATTATTACTTTGATAGAAAAAATCTATTATGTATGTCTTCAATTTACTCATAATTCAAAAATTTCCTATTTAGAAATCAATTAAAAAAACGAAGATTGTAATTGGTTCTTTAAAAATTTCTGTTTCGGGATTACAATTCAACGCAGCAGTGATATCAAATCCTTTTAATTTATCTTGCATTACTTATTATTACCAATATTGGATGACAGTTGTTTACTGTGTAAAACGCCAAATGCTGCGGAAAATTGGCTTTTTGACATTGATACAATGAAATTTATGAGCATTTGAACTATTATAAGAATAGCGAGATTCTTTTAATATTATTGAATGTGACATATGAGTCATTCTTGCGGATATGATTCCTCACAAAGAGATTTTCATGCATTATATAAACGATAATAACAAATAAAAAAGGGAACTGCTAAACTTCATAAAAGGAAACGTATCATGCGTATCTGTTTTTTCAAAAGAACGTTCGATTGATCGGAAAATATTAAACAATTAGTCCCGCAGCAATTATTCTTTGTTGATATCGTTGGTTAACTCGATGATTTAAATTAAATTTTGGGAATAGAGTATTCAAACAATACCAAATGGAGCCAAGCTAATACCGAATTCCGGTAACACAACCATGTTACGAAATAATTATTTTGTCTCCGCAGCAAATTGATTTTACATTACTCGATACACAATGTTACACTTTTAATTAATCGAAACGTGGTGTTTGCAAAAATAAATAGTATAAATATGTCGCTTGATTTCATCCTCATTGAGGAATCAATTTCCCTTGTCACTTTGTTGTCGGGGTTATTTGTTAATTTCTCCTTTATGTTAATAAATCATTGATCGAATCAATTTTTTCTTGTCTCCAAAATTTAATTGATCATTTCTCCTATAAAAAAGAAAGTTACAAGTTAAATAAATAATTAAGCTCCCTTAATGTAAATTAAACTATTTGTTTTTTTTAAAAAAAAAGAAAAAAAAAGAAAAAAATTCTTACGCGACTTTAAGTATCTAAGATAGTAATTATGAATGAACATAATAAAGTTGTAACTGAAGTTGTGAAATCAAAAGATCAAAATGATGATAATGTTTTAACACGAGAAATTGTGGAAACATCTGATTCACATGTAGAAAAATCTCAATCATCTTCATCTGATGGTAAACCAACTAATAATAATGAAGAAATTGATTTATCTAAGGTAGATGCATTACCCCCACAATTAAATGAAGATAATAATGAAAATGAAAAATCCGATTTTATAAAAAAATCAATTGAAAATGATGAAAAAGGAAAAGATAATAATAAGAAATCTGATACAATACCTTTCTCTCAATTATTTCGTTTTTCAACTCCCGTTGATAAATTATTTATGATATTAGGTAAGGTTTGATTTTCTATGACATTACATTTATTATGTTTGCGTCTCTAATCCTAATTTTAAATACCTTTATTTAAAGGAACAATATGTGCATTGGCAAATGGAGTTTCAATCCCTCTTATGACAATTATCTTTTCCAAGTTCATCCAAAGTTTTTTTGATTTTGAGTTTTCCAACAATACTGGAGGAAATATTGATGCCGCAAAAGAAAAATTAAATGATGATATCATAAGAAATGCTTATTATTTCATGGCTCTCGGTTGTGGCGTTTTCGTTTTTTCTTACGGTCAAATGTCTTTTTGGATGTTTTCCGGTGAAAGACAGGCAAAAAGGATTCGTGAATTGTATTATACTGCAATCCTTCGTCAAGATATTGCTTTCTTTGATACTGTCTCGACTGGTGATGTTACCACTCGTATCTCTGGTGACACGAGCCTTTACCAAGAAGGAATTTCAGAAAAAGTTGGTTTAATATTACAACAGTTCGCCACTTTCATTGGTGGTTTCGCAATCGCATACACAACAGGTAAATAAATAGATAAAATAATTCTTTTTTTCCCATTAAAAAATATACAAATTTATTTTTCTTTTTTTTTTCAGGATGGAAATTGTCACTTGTTCTTACTGCTATAATTCCCCTCCTTGCTATCGCTGGAGGTGTAATGGCCAAAGCCATTTCTAATGACGCTTCTCAAGGACAAGGTACATCAATCTGCATTATATATTGTTATTTTTCATATAATTAATTTCTTTTGTTCATTATGATAGATGCTTACGCCGAAGCCGGTGGTATAGCCGAACAAGTATTATCTGGAATTCGAACTGTCGTTTCATTTGGCGGTGAAAAACGCGAACTCGCTCGTTACCAGAATAAATTAAATGATGCATATAAACTTGGTGTAAAGAAAGCTTTTATAAGTGGTACCGGTCTTGGTGCGATGATGGGTATTATGTTTGGAAGTTACGGTTTAGCTTTCTGGTATGGAAGTAAACTTATTGTCAATAATGAACAAACTGGTTCGGAAGTTTTGAATGTCTTCTTCGCTGTTATCATTGGTGGTACGTAAAGTATTTAATTAACAATATAAGATAAAGTAAAAAATTTGGTACCTTTTAAATCGTGTTCTAATTAATAATTATGTTTAGCTTTCTCGATCGGAAATGCTGCGCCGCACTTCTCATCGGTGGCAAACGCGTTAGGTGCGGCTACCAAACTCTTCGCTGTTATCGACAGGGTTCCCATTATAGATTCCTCTTCAAATTCAGGCAAAAATATCAATAGATCTGAACTTGTAGGAAAAATTGAATTCAAAAATATCAATTTTCATTATCCCACGCGCCCTGACGTGCAAGTTTTAAAAGATTTCAATTTAACGATTGAACCTGGTCAAACTGTTGCTCTCGTTGGTAGTTCAGGAAGTGGTAAATCAACAATTGTTGGTTTATTAGAAAGATTTTATAATCCCGCTAGCGGAACTATTACTTTGGATGGTGAAGATATTAAGAATATAAATGTTAAATCTTTAAGAACTCAAATTGGTCTCGTAGGTCAAGAACCCATCCTTTTCCCTGAAAGTATTAAGCAAAATATTTTATGGGGTGCTGATCCTATCGAGAAAGATCAAAGTTTGGAACATGTTATTGAAGCTTGTAAGAAATCCAATGCTCACGATTTCATTGATGAGTTACCAAAAAAATATGATACCTTGGTTGGTGAAAAAGGTGCTTTGTTATCTGGAGGTCAAAAACAACGGTAAGTATTGCGATGTTGTGAATGACATTAATCACATCACCTTTCTTGGGATAAACCTTTAATATTTGATATCTTATAGTATCGCAATTGCTCGTGCTTTGATTAAAGACCCTCCGATATTGTTACTCGACGAAGCCACATCTGCTCTTGATACTGAATCTGAGAAACTTGTGCAAGATGCTCTTGATAATGCTTCAACGAATCGAACTACAATCGTTATTGCTCATCGGTTATCAACCATTAAAAATGCCGATAAAATTGTCGTTATGTCTAAAGGTGAAATTATTGAAGTTGGTCGTCATGACGAATTAATAGCCAAAGAAGATGTTTATTTTGGACTTGTAAAAGCCCAAGAGTTAAAGACTCGACAACATGCCGAAGATATTAACGATGACGAAGAGGATGAAGACGATTCAAGTTTAAGTAGTCAAACCGAGAATGAAACAACCATTACTTTTGATGAAAAGCATCACAATTTACATTTACGTCGTATGTCAACAAAAGCTTCAACCGTAAAGTCTGGTGGTAAATCAGAGCAAGAAATTCTTGAAGGGTCCGAGGCAGAAAAATTATTGCAAAAAATGCCAATTTCAAGAGTCTTTAGAATGAACTCTCCCGAAGCTATTCTCTTATTCATTGGAACTCTCGCTGCCGCCGTTAATGGAGCCATCATGCCACTTTTCTCTTTAATTTTCTCTTCAATTTTAGCCGTATTTTCAAGAACTGATCAGTAAGCTAAGATATAATGATTCGACCGATTAAACGGTTTAATTGTGAAATAAAAATTAACTTTGTTAATTTAAAATTTTGTAGACCTGATGAACTTCAAAAACAAGCAAATTTCTGGGCTGGGATGTTTGGAGTTCTTGCTTTGGTCGCATTTCTTTGCAATTTCTTCCAACTTTCATGTTTCATGATTTCAGCTGAAAGACTTACAAGAAGGTTACGCAGCTTAACATTTGAAGCTCTTATGAAACAAGAAATCGCTTATTTTGATGATGAAAATAATGGTACCGGTATTCTGACATCAAAATTAGCTGTTGATGCTACTAAAGTAGAAGGATTGACTGGTTAGTTTCGTGATTTATTATTACGTTTTGTTTTTCCATTCTTTACATAATATAACACAGCATTTTTTTTTAGGTTCTTTGATGGGCAATATACTTCAAAGTCTTACAAATATCGCATTGGGACTTGTAAGTCAGTTTATTAATAACTGCTCAGAAAAAAAAACAAAGATAATAATTTTTTTAATCTTTCTTAATAGGGAATTGCATTTTACTTTGGTTGGAAACTTACATTGGTTATTCTGGCAGCAGCTCCGGTTGTTGCTATTGGTGGATTTTTGGAAATGAAGGCTCTCGCAGGTTATGGGGCCAAAGTAAGTACATTATTGATAAAATATCTTAAAAATATTCGATTTGTGAAAATAACGCGTTTTCTTTCTTTCTTTCTTATGAAAAATGTTTAGACGCGTAAAGCTTATGAAGGTACTGGACAAATTGTTCAACAAAGTGTTTCCAATATGAGAACAATTTCAGCCCTAACCAGAGAAGATACATTCAGAAACATGTACATTGAAGCTATTCGAATTCCTCACAAGATTGCCGTTAAAGGAAGTTTCCTATCATCTTTTGGATTCGCAGCTTCTCAAGGATTTTTATATTTTATCTGGTCTCTTGCTTTCTGGTATGGAGGTCAATTAGTTATTAGTCGAGAATACGAAACGTAAGTATTTTTTTTCGCCTTGCGACATTGTTGACTCGTATTAAATGTTTTATTTCCGCTATATTTTTAATTCCTATAGGAAAAAGATGTTTAATGTGCTCTTTGCTGTTGTCTTCTCAGCAATGGCCGTTGGACAAATGAGGCAAGTATGATGTTTATTTAGCGTCTTTATCGAAAGAAAAAAATCGCAGATTTTAATTTTAATTTTTTTATATTTTAATAGTACATTCGCGCCAAATACCGCAAAAGCCAAAGTTGCAGCACTTTCAATTTTTGAAATTCTTGATCGTAAACCGAAAATTGATGTCTCAGATACCGAAGGAAAAGATAGACCTACGCCAGTTACAGGTGAAGCAAGGATTGAAGAAGTGCATTTTAATTATCCAGCAAGACCCGATGTACATATTCTTAGAGGATTGGATATGTCAATTCTAGCTGGTAAAAATATTGCCCTAGTTGGATCATCAGGATCGGGAAAATCAACAGTCGTTGCATTATTGCTAAGATGGTATGATGTGAACTCAGGAAAGGTCGATATAGAGAAGGTTAATATAAAAGATTGGAACCTTGAATATTTGAGATCTAACCTTGCATTAGTAGGACAAGAACCTGTATTGTTTGATTTAACTATAAAAGAAAGTATTGCTTATGGTAAAGATGGGTGTTCACAAGAAGAAATTGAAACAGCAGCGAAAGAGGCAAATATTCATAACTTTATAATGAGTTTGCCTGATAAATATGACACAAAAGTAGGAGAAAAAGGTACACAATTATCGGGGGGACAAAAACAACGTGTTGCTATCGCGAGGGCATTAATTCGTTCACCAAAGTTATTATTGCTTGACGAAGCCACATCAGCTTTAGATTCCGAATCCGAAAAGGTAGTTCAAAATGCATTAGATAAAGCTTCTGAAGGTAGAACCACGATTACTATTGCACATCGGTTGTCCACTATACAAAATGCTGATTTAATTTTAGTTTGTAAGAAGGGTAAAATTGTTGAAAGAGGTAATCATATGGAATTAATCTCTCAACAAGGTTTATATTATGAATTAGTTAATAAGCAAACTTTAATGAAAAAGAAGTAAATATAATGAAGCAGAAATTTTTTAAAAAGAATAATTAATTCCCCTATTATAATAGTAATTACTTTTATTTTTCTTTTTTTATAATTGTTAGACTTTAATTTTGGCACATTTTATAATTTTTCATATAATTACGATGTAACTTTATATATAACTATTATGTAAAACATTTTAAAAATAAACCAAAAACCAAAAAAGAAAAAAAATCACGTTTTATATTTCTTTTCGAAAAATTAAACATTTAATAAGATTCGCATTATTAAATCTATAAAGTTAAATTAGTCATATTGAAGAAGCAAATTAGAAGTTGATGTGAAAAACAGAAATGAGTAATCAAAGAAGAATTTTTTTGTCAAAAGAAATTTAATGATGATGCGGTCTATGAAATAATGTGATATTTTACAAGAAATGTAATACCCGGGATACTATACGTTTTTATGTTAACATGAAATTTTATAAAGGATAATTTCGGAAGAATTTAAAATAAAAAGTTATAATTCAATAAGCTTTAAGGACCTGAAGTTGCGAGTTGGGAAAAGGCTTTCCCTTTTTGTTATTTTATTAAAAATATACATTAAAAATATCGTAATATTATACCTTCAAAAATATAAATTTCGTGACTATTATTAGGTTACTTCCTTCTTCGCCATATCCAATAAATCATTCACTTGTTTAATTACATCTTTATTTTCATCACCTTCATTGTGTGTAATATTTAATATATTTTTAGCATATTCCAAAATGTTTATAGCTTCTTTAACAGATTCCAAACCACCGGTTATATCATTCCAATAACACTTTCCTAAGGTAAACAAATGTAAAGCTATAATTGGGTGATATCTAGGATAAATCAATAAATAAATAGAAAGGATGTATTTTCCAAGAATTGTTGACTGATTCCATTGTTTTAAATCTATTTTATCATAAAATAATTTTGTCGTGGATGAAAGTGACGATATATCAAATAGATGATTTTTCTCAAGTAAAGTTGAAATTATCTCACACAAAGAATTTATATAATCCATCATCTTCGTATGATTTTTCAAGTGTGGTAATAAATTGGATAATATCAATGCGGTTATTTCCTCATTTTCGGACACGGTGAAACCTTTGTCTTCGATCAATTGATCGATTTTAGTTAAGATTCCAGAATGTTGCTCGTCTGGAGAGCATCTAGGGCACTGACATTTAAAGAAATACTTTTCCCGTAACAATTTCTGCCGAGTTGTCCTATCTAATGCCACATCAACATAAGAAATGTTAATTTCATCTCCGATACTTATATCTTGGATGCATTTAATTATTTGTGTTGCTCCATCGTACATAACGATTGCATTTGGCCGACAAGAATTATTAAACAATGACCCGATCGGATACCTAAATGATTATATTAATAAAAGGTTATATATATATATATGTTTTTGCCTTTTCACGAGATGACTACGTACGTTCCTTCTCCATATGTAAATAGTTGACTGTCATGTATGGTGAAATTATTACAATGAAATCTACATAAATGGTTAATTAAATCATCCTTTGTAACTTTATTGAATTTCAAAATTTCATGAACCTTTGTGGAAATCCTTTCGAATTTTACCAAATTCTTGACATGTTCATGATCGTTTCTATGCGTCATTAATTTGAAAAATATTTCAAACAGATAACCTTTATTTTCGAAAAATGGATCCAATTTCTCATCATTAAGGAATTTATCAATTAGTATCGAAACTCTTTTTAACATTTCTTCATCGTAATCTTCTACACCTTTTGATTTCGTGTAATTGGAACATAGCCATTTATGATGTGATAACCATGAAGATTTTTGACAGGATCTGTTACAATAGTATACACACTGGCATTTCGAACACGTTCGTAAAGGTGTAGAATCGTGACTCGTTTTTAAACATTGATCACACCTGAATTTATTAAATGTTAACAGTGGGAAAGAGGCTAAAGGGTATGAAATGATTATTGTTGATCCTGCTGTGAATATTTTATTGGAGATTATTGAACGAAATTTCTGTTCATCCTCTTTTAATTTTATCCCATGTTGAGATAAAAAAGATTCCATCTCATTTTTTTAAAAAAAAAAAAAAATTTGATTGAATAAAGTCGGATTATATAATCATCTTTTAATGTTGACATTTGATGTTCCTCGTGCGTGGAAAATCTATCGCAAAAAAAGTAAAAGATTACCGGAAAAAATTTTTTGATGATTATCACAATCAAGCTTACCAATTTGAGTAAATCTAAAAGGGAGAAAGAAACAAAAAAAAATAGTTACAATTATAAGTTATTTATTTTATATTTTTTTGATTTTAGATCTATTACATTAAAGTTTAGCGAAATTCGAATATGTCTCTTATATCCCCAAATACAACCTTTTCCACCAGTTGTTCATCATTACCTATTACCGCTAATACGGTTCCTGTTGAGATTTTTATTGAAATATGTCGTTATTTGTCTCCGGTTAATTTATTTTCTTTAATCAAAGTATGTAAACAATTTAGGAGTTGGTTAAGTTCAACTACCTCAAAAAGTACACGAGAGATTTGGTGTATTTCCAGAAAGAAATTCTTACCAAAATTACAATTATCCCCTTTTTCTAATATGGATGAACAATCATACACGAGATTAGGTTTAATTGAAAAAGGTTGTCAATTTTGTAAACGTAAAGTTTGTAAGGTTTATTGGATTTTTCGTGTAAGGAGTTGCAAAAAATGTTTCAGTAAAAGGATCGTAAGGTAAGTCTTTTACATTTTTTTTTTTTTAAAATATAAAAATATATCATTTTTTATTGAATGTATTTCAACTTATTCATTTCTTTTTTTTTAGTCATCGGGATTTACCAAGTGAGGCAATGTTTCCCGTGGATGTTTATAATTGTTTGCCCTATCTGAAAAGGGGAACTGATTGCATATATTGGCATCGTGATGTAATCGCAGCATGTAGAGAATTCAAAGAGCTTAGGAATAGTAATCCCGAAAAACAATCAGAATGGATAGGACAGAAGAAATCAGCGGCACAAAAAATTATGGAAGATTATAAAAAAAGATGTTCAGATCAATATCGTCTTTCATTATCACTTCGTAAAAAAGATAAACGACAGTTTGAGGGGATCATTCATGATTTAATGGAAGAAAGGTTGCCTAATGGTAATTCAAAGTATATTGTTAAATGGATTTGGGATTTACGATCTTGTGATGATGCATTTCAACTTTCGAGAGAACCTTTTGTGCAAAAGGATTGGAAAGAATTGAAGCATGCAATAATCGTTGAATATGAAGAATTAATGAAACAATTAAGAAGAATTCAAATATGTAAAGCCATATTATCTTTATTAACGACAACATCATCAGTTCATGAAAACGCACTTATTGAAAATGGGATTTCGGTTTCTGATCCTTTGATTGAATGTATCAGGTGGTGTCCTTCCTATCAAAACCCTCCCTTTTCCAATAATGATCCCAGGATTCCATGGGATGATCAATATTTATCAAGTATTCTTCTACCAAAAATTCGTGATGAAGCTCAAGAGTTAAGAAAATTACCTGGTCAAATTAAATCTGGTCCGATCACGACAGTTTATGGTGCATTGAGCCTTGGTTGTGAGAAATGTGAAATATTCATGTGTAAATTATGTCAAAATTTTATCAATAGAAGTGATGAACACTTTACTTATCATGAAGCCTGTCATCATTTAAAGAGTTCAAAGCATAATGTAGTTACCATTTTACCCGATGATATGATTTCTGTTGATAGAAATAGGGTAATGGAATGTATACCATTAATTTATCCTTTTGATGGCAGTCCCTCCGAAACTTTACAACACTATCGTCATTGGCATAATTATTAATTAATTATTATTATTATATGATTATAAACTTTTTTTTTATTATTATTATATTTAATGTAAAAAATTATTTAATGAAATTCTTAACAATCTATCTCCCAACAATCCATCTCCCATGCAGTAACAATTTGAAAGTACCCTTCAGTAATCTTTGCGAATGTTTTAAATCTTTTCTCATCAGATCTTAAACTAATTCCAACAATTTTTAAAGTCCTTCTCTTGGAAAATTTTAATAAAATATCAACATATTCCATACTAATCTTATTACTGTCATGAAAAATGATTGTTCGTAAAGGTGAAGATGTCATCTTTAAATAAGATTCTAGGGGAATAGTGGATTTAGGCATATAAATATCAATAAAAGTTAACTTTGGCAAAGAAATATTACATAATTCATCATAAATCTGATAAACATGAGAAGAATTAAATACAGAATTAAATAAAATTGAGAGATGGGTTAAACTACTTTCTAACACTGATAACGATGAAATGAACCCTTCTTGATATTGATTCCTTTGAATCTTTAAAATAGAAATATTTGGGCATCTAATAAAAAGGTCTTGAATTACTTCCAGCGATGTATTGTGATAAAAAGAAATCTTTTTTAAATTTTCATTTGTTAAATTTTTCAAGATGAACATAAGAACCCGTTTATCCACACAATCCAATTCCAATGATTTTAAATTAAAATCCGCTTGTGAAAAATTATCAAACACGTTTTGATCTAGACCACCACAACATAGCATACAAAGGTTTTGTAAATTCTTGAATCTTTGAATCGAAGAAAATGAGAATTGTTTAGAAATTCGGGTTAACTTTAAGGAGGTTAACGAATTTGAATGATTAGATGATAAAGTTTCAAGGATAGGTGTTAAATTCAAATCAAACTTTAAATGAACAAAGGATAATTTATGTTGTGCTTTGATTAACTGGATAATTAAATCAACATCCTTAACCTGTTTGTTGATTTTTCCATAGATTATTAGGTCTTGAATATTATGAGAATTATCTTTAAGTGAAACCAAAAGGTGATAAACATTAGAAGTTATAAAGGAAGTTTGGATCTCAAGTTTTTTTATATTCATAAACCCAGGTTGGAATTTGACAAAGATGCAAATCTCGGGGATATCATCACAGTTTATTGAATAAATGGGTGAGATTGAAAGGTTTTTAATGACTTTGGAATTTCGCATGATTAATTTTGTGAAAACTTTATAAATGTAGTTAAGTTGAATAATTTTTATTTCAAACCTGTGATGATTTTCATAATGAAAATTTTCTTTGTACCAACTTTCAATCGATTGAAAAAGTTCTGATGTATTGTAATCTTGAATATATGATGCATAATTAAATATTGTTGAAGGAAATTCTTCCGGTTGTAATGTAATGTAATCGCTATCATTGATAATCTCTAACCTCTCTTCTGGATTGAGCAAGGATGTTAACGTTTTAATTTCCCTTCCTTTTGATGTACTTGAAAATGGATGTTTCCATAAGATTGGAACGATAATTCTACACCAAATTCGATTTACGAAAAGAAATTTGTATAATGCTCTTATGTCATTTTCAAAATAAAAGAAAATTTCATCAGAACATTCTAAAAGGATCAAGTTTAGCTTTGAGGACATGCTTTATAGATTTTTTTTAAAAAAAAGGAAGTACCTTTTTATACAAAATGGATCACCACGGCTTTTGATATAAGCGGTAAGTGTATGTTACACGTAACTCAAATTTTTTGATTTCCAAAGGTCACTTTTAGACTTCTCAGATGATTCTTTGTTTTCATTTTATCAGTTCTACTATAAACATCCATCCAATCAAAATTCACCTTTTTTAATGTATTATATAACCGTATCAAATTTAGCGCAGTGGTCATTCTAATTTTGGTAAAATATTTATAGTCGTCGCGTACAGCCACACCTCCATTCATGCAAAATTTTCTATTTAATAATTCTGAAAAGTCCATTTTACATTCTACCTTTTGATTATTCTTTTGAGGGGAAAATGATTAAACATCCCACACATCGAATTCCAGGACCACAATCAACTCCTGTACTAACGACAAGTGGTGATGGTGATCCTTTAGGAACCTCACGTAGCACTGAATTTTCAATTCTTGTATCACAAGAAAGAGAACTACCCTCTAATCATCGTGATATATCAAAAGTTAGAAAAGTCAAAACAAATTGTTGCAGTACCGACACTTGGTTAGATGATGATAATGATCCTACAAGTTGTTTTTGGTGTGCCTTTGTTTTAATTTTTGTCTTAATTGTTGCAACTATTGGTAAATATTTTGATTTATTCATCATTAAAAAGAAAGCGAACCATGAATTCATTCGTTTCAATTTTGTAGGATATTTTGTACTTTATGCGGATATAAAACATCAAGTCGATATTCAATATTTTGAAGTAAAACCTTGCCCTCCTTCCATTTTCCTAACCTGTCCACAAGAGGTACCTTGCATATTTCTTTTAAAAATTTTGTTTAAAATATAATTATCCGAATCCTTTTGTTTTAATGGTTATACATAGGGATCATTGTGTTTACCTTGTTCACAAGGAGAGGTAATTTATTTAAAACAACGTTTTATGAAATAATCCGTTTTTAATTATTTTGAATTATTCAAATATTAATTCTAGAGATTATGTATGTATCATTTTGAAGAATGTCTAAGGTATTACTGTGTTTCACAGAATTTGGTAGGTCACCGTTTTATTCTCCTGTATTTGAACCACAATCGAATTGTATTTACTTTATATATCTTTTTTTAATAGACTTGTGGATTGAAATGAGGCTGCATTTATTGTATAATATATCGAAAAATACTTTAGAAGAATTATAATATATTTATTAAAAGATTACATATTTGGTAATAAGTGGATTTACGAATACAAATGTTAATACAAGTACATGTATAATTTTAAAAATTATCATATAAAATAAATAAGTAATTAAATTTCTTTCAAACTAATTGATAATTAAAAAAGAAAAGCAAAAGCACAAAATAAAACAGCAGCGCTTAAACTGACGCCAGAAGTGGCCTTGATTAAACCAGCAGACGATTTGGCAGATCTTTGATCAAGTACAGTGTCAATTACATGTATGACGCCATTGTTTGTCAATATATCGGCGGTGATTACTTTAGCATCGTTAACAAAAACCTCTCCACCCGAAACCGTGATTATAATTTTGTCCCCTTGGGAAGTTTTTGCATGAGTGTTATTTTCGACTGTACGAGAATAAAAAACACCTCTTGCGATGTGATATTTCATGGTATCCTTAAAATCTTTGGATTCAAATGTGCTTCTTGATAATTTATCAAAGGCTTCATTATTTGGGGCAAAGATTGTAATTTCCTTTTCACCGTCAACATCCGAAATGAGATCTTTGGTGCTAAGTGTTTGTGAAAAGGTTGATAATTCAGAAACTTGCTTGGCGGTATCTGATGGTCCCTTTGGTGGCATTAATACTAGAAAAAAATTTTTTTTTTTTTTTAAAAAAAAGTTAGCTTAGTAAATAATTTTAATAAAATTAATCAGTTAAAATTAAAAAATTTACCTTTGTCAATGATATGAATGATACCATTTTTGGCTTCCAAGTCAGGTTGATCAATTTTAGCTTTCTCGAGACCATCGCTAATGGTAGCATTACCTTTATCAGCAGACCTGACCACAACAACCTGACCTGCTTTATCAGGTAGTTTAACCCCCTCGGTAAGTAATGTGTTTGGATATATGGTTTTGATAAGGTCATTGACTTTGGCGACTTTATTAATGATGTGATATCTTATAATACTTTCTATTTCTCTTGAATCTTTTGGGTAGTTTTCACCGAGAGCTGCAAAAGCGTCATCCGATGGAGCTAGTATGGTCATTTGATCGGTTCCAGACAAAACTTTGGAAAGTCCATCATTTGCACTGATAAAATTCCTCAATGTGGTCAATTTTGGATTTTCAATTACATTATCTGTAATACTCTTTGTTGAATCTTGTGAAATAACCGATGAAACGAAAGTCGCGACAATAATAACGAGATGTTTAAGTTGCATTGTGAATTTGCTTTTTTGGGTAGAAATTTTTATCAAGTAATTTTAAGATTATTTGCTATCTTGGGTTCTAAGATGTACCCTTTTTATATTAAACTTTACATTATTCTCTTTATTCGTCATCATATCTTCTTGTCCTACCTCAAATTATGATGCGTGAATTACTTCATCGATCTTTTTAAAAATGAAATAATTATGAGATCATCGACTCGCAAAACTTCAAAAAAAAAATTTTCCAAGTATATTGCTTATTTTGTGGCTAACAATAATTGTTTCATATTGTTCGTCGATCAAGAAAAAAAATTTTTTTAATTAAACATCCCTATTTTTTTCTTAAATGAAGTGCGTCATATGAATTATGAATACCAAATTGGTTATAGTCCTGTTGCAGTAAGAAAATTTCTTTGGTGAATAATATTATACGCCTCTCGAAGAAATTTAAACTTTTTTTTTTTACGCCTTTCATATTAAATAGTAACATTTTAATTTTTGAAATGACGCAAATGACGTCGAAAGTCATTTAACCGCTTAAGATGTCGTAACCGGAATTATAATATAAATTATCGAATTATCGAATTCGACTTAATTGTCTATAGCTTGGCAAGTTTTTTTTTTTTTCAAAAAAAAAAAGGTTCTGGTTAGCAAAAAACGTTCATGATTCGCATTTGATGGTTATCATATTGAATAAAGTTCATCATTATTGAGATAATTATTTTCTTATCTATCAATTAATTTTTCTTGAATAGTCAAGATAATTTGTGATTCAGCATTGAATCCTTGTAAGTTTCGTCTCATTTATTTTTGAATACATTATTTATTTTAAAAACTGTTATTAATTCCTTGATCACATAGTTAAAGAAATGTAATAATAACATTTGTAGTAAGAAATTTAATTGTAATATTTTATAAGATTTGTTTGTGGTTTTATACACAGAGATGAGTTCAACATATTATTTTAACTTTATGTATTTTTTTCAGATAAATAATTTATTAGAAGTGTAAGTAAGCATAATAATAATAAAATATTATGATTAATCAAAAATTATTTTAATTAAACTATTTCAATTGAAATTTAATAAATTAAATAAGTTAAAGTTAAATAAAGCTTAAACTACTGTATTTAGTTTATATTAATAATAATCATATCAATTTTAAAATGTATTATAAAAACTAAAGTTTTAAAGTATTCTTTTCAACTTAAAGATAAATAGGATTAATTATCAAAGAATATTCTAATCTTCAAAAGAAAAGGCTAATGTAACATTTTTAATGGTATTCATGAGTATGTGATCATTTTGAATGACTTTTCAAAATACACTTTCCAAAATATATTTTGCATATTTTCTGGTTTTACAAGTTTTTCCATTAATATACCTGCAAATTCCTGAGAATTTTTCAATTGATTTATAAATAAACATCTGAAATAAACTGAAATAATCAATTTATTCATCTATAGCAAATACTATAAGAATGTAAATAAGAATTTATAATGAAATAATTGAAATAATTACCAATTTATTCTCTAATTTTATAATCTTATATGATTTATTTTATAGTAAAGAAAAAGTGCTATTTCTAAATTTTTTATCTAATTGATGCTTTTGAAATATAGTTTTTAATGTACTAATTAAAATATTAAGTTCAATACAAATCTCAGTAAATTGATATTAGTTATATTTATATATATAATCTAAAGTATTTTAATAAAGTAATGATTATTATTATATAATATAGTAATAATAATTATACTTATAAATAATAGTAGTAAATATAAAAAGTAGAAGAAGTTTAGCGAATCTTAGTTTAGAGATTACCGTAAAGCGCATTCTATAATACCCTGGGTATTTTACATTCTACAAAATTTTAAGGGGTACTATAATCGGAGGGTACTTTGATGTGATGGGAGTACAATACATGGCAAAAAAGTCTTAACTATATATAAGTAACAAGTTAATAGATGTGATGCGATAATTTTTTTGATTTAACTATGGCGATAATTGGTAATAAACATCATAAGCAGTGTATAAAATCTAAGTTAAAATTTATGTGCATAAATTAATTAATTATTACTAAAATAGGAAAATCATAACATTTTCTTATGTAAAATTACCTTTTTTATTCATAATTTATCTATTTTTAGTAATAATTTGTGCACATTTTATGTTGTGTAATATGTGTACACAAAAAATTAATGTGCACATGTGCACAGATTTTACACACTGGTCATAAGCATGCTAGAGTTACTAAAAAACTTCGACGATAATGGTGTTCTCATGAAAAACTTATGGTATTATATTATGCACAAAGAGTTCAAAGTAAAAAGGTTGCTGCAAAAAAGTTTGATATTGAACTAAAGCAAATAAGAGATTAGAAAAAAAAGGGAGCAACTTATGACTTCAGCTCCATATATTAAAAAGTTATATCCAGGAAGGTTTCCAAGTTTACTTGAGTTAGAAGTACCATTATTTTAATGGATTCAGGATTTAAGACAGCAATATAAAGCTGTAACTCATAATATGGTTATGAAAAAAGCAAAAAAACTAGCAGAAACTGATGAAATGAAACAACTTTATCCAACAATTCAAAATTTTAAATTTTCTAACAAGTGGTTAGATGGTTTTATTAGTAGAAATAACTTATCTAATAAAAGAAGAACAACTATTTCCCAAAAATTACCAGAAGATTTAATTGAACAACAGCATTCATTTTTGAGTTTTATTCTTTATAGGCGTATACAATATGATTATCCTCTCAATTTAATTGCTAATCTTGATGAAACTCCTCTCAGTTTTGATTTATCATCTTCAACAATATTAGAATCAAAGAGATCTAAAACTGTTAGTATTAGGTCAACTGGTCATAAAAAAAATTGTTTTACAATAGTTTTGACATGTATGGCAGATGGTACTAAATTAGAACCTGTAATTATTTTTAAATTAAAAAATATTCTTCGTGAAATCTTTTCTGATGGAGTTAAAATTTGTGTTAATGAAAAAGGTTGGGTTAATGAGAAAGAAATGCTTTGGTAGATTGAAAATGTGTGGTGTAATAGGGGAGGTACAAATAATAATCCAAAAAGTCTTTTGATATTTGATTCTTTTCGTGATCATTTGGTTAATAGTGTTAAAAATAGACTTGATGAAAAATAAACAAATATTGCAGTAATTCCTGAAGGGTTAACTGGTAGGCTTCAACCATTAAATGTGGAAATCAATAAAATATTCAAATCCAAGGTAAATTTTTTTTTTTTATGATTATTTTTTTAAAATTTAATTTTATTTAATAATTTTATTGTTTTATTAGATTTGCGAATTATATAATGAATGGATGTCTGAAAAAGTTCATGAACTTACTCCTGCTGGAAGAATTAAAAGGCTTGCTTATAATAAAGTAGCATAATGGGTTAAGGTTACTTGGGATAGCATTAATGTTGAAAAAATCAAAAAATCCTTCAAATGTTATGGTATTTCTGTAGCAAAAGATGGTACAGAAGATGATTTTATTTTCGATTATAATTTTCTAAATGATGAAAATGATAATCTAAATGATGATGTGATGTTTGAAGATACTATATATGATGATTTTATTGCTGGTTATGAAAATACTTGGAATTAATTAGCATTAATTTAGATAATGTAAATGTTTGAAACAAAAATAACTTGCACTTTATTAGTAATAATAAAAACTATTTTTAACATTTGATAAATATTTATCATATTTTATATTAATAAAAATTAAAAAATTTATACATTTATTAACATTAACGCGTGATATTGTATATCAATATCAGGTTATAGTACCCGGATACTTTACATGGAGGTTTGACATTCACAATGTATAGTATCTGGGGTACTTTACATTCTAAGCCACTCCAGAATGAGGCATTATATACAGGATACTATAGAGCGTACTTTACGGTATCTAATTTGGCTTATATTTTTTATAATATTTTTCCAAACTATCTAATAGTTTTTCTTCTTTTAAATTAATAAGAAAAAAAGATAAATAAATTATCTAGCTTTAACTCATTATCTGATATTATTGCCTCTTGTAACACCTTTTGCAATACTTCAGTATATTTTCTTTAGTATATTCTTTATCAAGTTCCTTTAAATTATTTTTAAATCTGATAAAGCTTTTTAAATTATTATCAATCCAATCAGGTATTATAAGATTTTCTTACTTAACTATTTTTTTATCAGCTCTCCTATTACATCTAAATTATGAGATGTATGTTTTAGTTTCAACTTACCTTCTAATTTAATTACCTTAACTTCAAAAAAAAGAATCATGAACTTATCAAAAGATAAAGCTTTTTGTACTAAAGTTACCTCTCTTTTTAGTATTTTAATCTTTAATTTGAGTAATTTAATTTTGATAGAATATTTTATTTAACTTTGAGTTTAATATAAGATGTTTGTTCAGAATTAATTGTAGCAAAATATTTAGCTTCAAACTTAGTACTGTGAACGAATAAAATATGATAGGACCTACGTGGCGCAGATGATCGACAAATCTGACAGATCTGACAAATCTAACATATCTGAC